TCAAAGAAAAAAAAAAGAAAAAACATTTCCGTATCCGTGCACCTCGATTCTTTCTTTTCCTTTCTCGAGCAGATCTTTTCTGAATCGTCCTGCGAACGCTGTTACGTTGTTGCGCACGAATGGCGGACTCGGCCAATTGTGTTCCCGTCGTTCTGCAGCGAGATCATCGTCGTCGGACTGATTTTGGTAAGCTCGCGTGGCTGTGAAACTCGCCGTTCCACGGGCAACGATCCGCGACGCGAGGCCGACGATCGGCGTCTATCGGTTTCGTTTACTCGATTCAGCGGGTGCAACTAATAAGCGAAACAGCGTTTCAAAATACAGTGTGATAAATGAATGTTCTCCTTTCTGCGAGGGTCCGGAACGAGAAGAGGTGTCTGCCAGACCGTGGATCTTTATGCGAGTAAGAATGCCCGAGAGAGTCTACCCTTTTCAAACGAAGCGAAATGATGATGAAATTCATTGGAACCAATGTAATTTTGGAAAATCGTACGAGCAACGAACGCATAAAATCCGTAGGTCCAGTAACGAACGAGGCATGCTCGAGGTGTGCCATTTCTGTGCGAGTGTTCCGTTTCGTACGACTGTGCGCTGCATTCGAAAGAAAAATCATGCGGTGCTGGGGTGAGAAAGTACCAAGCGGCAACTCTACGCATGCATCTCATTCTTTTCTCGTCTACGTGTCTGTGTGTCTGTGCGTGTACGTGTATATTCGTTTCACTCTGTACTCGCGCCCTCGTACGCGGCACTGTCCGGAATAGCGTGGCAAGATTCACCCTCGAATCGCTTTGCGAATCGATGGATCATTTCCTGATCGTGTCACGTTGATCCGTACCGTACCGCATTCGCGCGAGGAGCGTGAGTAGACGTACGATGCGCGAGAGAACAGAAATGGAAACGCGAGAGCGATTGAGAGATCGTTTCCGTGTGGGTCATGTGGATCGATGAATGGCTATGGTTTGAACGTGAGAATCAAGCGATCTATTCACGGGGAAAGTGACACGGGGAGGTGCTCGTCTCGTAGCACCTTGAAACTTTTGGGCCAAATGCATCGTGCCGTTATGCGATACGCTAAAACGAAAAGAAAAAGAAAAAGGAACGTCGGTTCTTGTTACTTCTATTCGAACACCGTTAAACCAGACACGTTGTCGTCGAACGCCTCGAAATCGTAAACGTGTCTTAACACTTAGCCAACCGAATTTCCCACTTTCCTCTTAACCCATTGCTGCACTTAGTTTTAAAATTGTGCCCGGAAATGCAGCTTTTTTTAAATTATTACTGCAATAGGAAATTGAACGTCAGTTATATGTTTTGACGTGGAAATTATTGAATTTTACCATAGTTTCTCAGCTCTAACTATAATTTGTTCATCATTACTTTTTTCTGTACTCAGAACAAATGGCTATAGCAGTCGTTTGCGGCAATGGGTTAACGCATTGTCAGTTCTGTTTATTTTCCTTACTTAGTCAATATTGAACTAAGGATATTTGCAATTTATTCAATTCTTTTCTCGCTGTTATAATGAATAATTTCCAATGAAGTTTCTTAAATGAGTTTAATTGAAGTTAACAATAAAGGTTATAGTTATAGTTATTTTCTCAGGCGGTTGCTAAAGTGTTAACAATTGTTTTACAACTGAGAGAAGGAGTAGTTCGACTCATGCAAAAGCGAGGTGAAATTGGTTCATTTCTGGAATCATAGTTTCTTGAAATAATGGTTCTCCACGAGCAAGTTTTATCGTACACGACTTATGTCATCGCACAAAGGATCATTCGCTTTTCGCGTGCATCACTTCCGTTTCGAACAGAGAAATATTACCGTGTCAGGCTCTCGAGACCGATCAACCAAAGAGAAAAGGAATAAAGGCATACGAGTCACACGTTCGCTACCCAGTTATTCATCAGCTTGATGTATCTATCAGAACATAACCGAGTATATTTCTATTACAGTTATACAATGACGAGCAACGGTGTAGCGCACGCGAAGAAACTGGTCGATCCTCCCTAATCGCGTGTTTTCATCCGAATCGTATGTAAGTGAGAGTATGTAAGTGTCTCTGCCTCGAAAGGGCCACATACACTGCCAGTGAAAAGTCTGAAACCACTTGATACGTTACAGAATTACAGATTCGTATAAAAGAAAACAACAAAAATCATCTATCTCTATATTCAACTGACACATCTCTTTTGTTACAATTTCTTTTGTTACAATTACTGAAAAGCTACAGATGCTTCTCCAAGAAAAATTAAAGTTGATTCAGTAATACACTGAAATACAATTCAAAAGAGCTCTCAACAAGTACACAGAAGTTTTCTAAAGGAATCTAGAGAAGTCAGTTTATCTAAGTAGTTCTAGCGTTAAGAGAACTTCGCAGAAAGTTCCTCTGTGAACCAATCGATTGGTCCCAAACGATACTCCGGCAGTGTACACACAGGTATAGAGTATAGAGTACAGAGTATAGTGTCTCGCCAAAGTGAAACACCTTGCGTTTATCCCACACGCGCGGTCCCTTTCCGGCCAAGAAATGAAACAAGCCAGGACTGCCGCGTGCGTGTCTTTCTCCTGCTGGGAGAACGACAAAGGTATCTGCGCGTGTGCCTGTGCGTGTGCGTGTACGTATATTCGTCCTGGCTCGTTCCGCTGGGATCGAGGATGTATCAGGGGTCGGGCTGGGATGTTCGAGTCAGAGATCATTGATCAACTATGGTGACATAACGGCGAGACACATGAGACTTACTTGAGTCTTGGCCCGTCTGCGGTGGCGACGTTATTCGGGTACCGAAACAGCACGCGCTGGGTGTCGCTGCGGCTAGAAATATACTAATATAGGCATGCCGCGGGTATTTCACGATCCTAGAATCCTTTGCGGTCGGGTAAGGGCTGTGGGAACCCGTTGTCCTCCACGGGCAAACGGTTTCTCCGGGAAACCGATCAACGTTTCCGGATCGCCGACCGCAAAGGGTTGTTCAAAGCTGT